CGCGTCGCCGCCCTTCCCCCCCCCCCCCCCCCCCCAGCATTTTCTTGTTCCTGTGTGCAGGAGCTGCCATGTGATACTCTGGTCCTCATGATACACTGCTGTTCTTTTTCTGCAGCCCCCGGGCATGCATGCCATCCCTCCTATACCACACCTCAAATCGCTGCGTGCACTTCCCCTTGTGATAGCGAGCATGTCAGGGTCCACGGCAGGGATTGTCAGACACAGAGAGGGGCATCGCATGCTGGGGAGCAGCCAGGATGAGGTCAGGGGGGGACCATCATGGAAAGATCATGTCCCGCTGGTGCACACACAAGTGCACATGCACGCAGGGAGAGCCGCTGAGCGGGGCAGGGCCTGGGGTCCCTCGTGCCCCCTCCCTCAGTTGACGAGCTGCACCGCCGCGATGCCGGGGATGCGCTCCCGCAGCTTCTGGGTGACTGCCACTCGGACCGTCATGACCGAGGCCGCCGGGCCCGTGATCCTTACTTTGGCAATTGGGCCGTCGATCTCCACCAGGTCCAGGCCCCCGCCCCCCGTGCCGATGAGGTATGGCCTGTCAACAGGGAGGGGAGGGGGGGATACAAGGCTGCACCCACTCAAGCGAGTTGTCCTTACTTCTGGGTACAGGAAGGAACAAGGAGATGGATGACAATGCCAGGGCTGCATCCAAGCATCCCACCTGATCTCATCCAGCACGGTGTCCACATTTTCTGGCGTGAGGTCCAGACCACCCATGTCCTCGGGCTCCATCTGCTCCACATCTGAGATCTCCTGAATATCAGGAGGCCAGGAAAGAATGCTGGACACAATTGAGCCTGCAGGACAGCAAAGTTGTGCGGAGCCCATCCCCCCACACATCCGAGAGCAGCAGCCTGTGAGGTCGGTCTCATGCCATACCGGGATAGACTCCATGAGGCGCCGCTTGATCCCCATGGTCATGGTGGTCAGCGAGGAAGGGCAGGACCCGCAGGCGCCTTGCAACCTGGGGCGAGGCATGAGTGGGAAGGTGAAGACACGACGGGAGGCAAGGTCAAGTGCGGGGAGCTCCTGAGATGCGGTAGTACTTCACTGCTGCAAGGCAATGCAGGGCGGCTATGACACAGGGCCCCTGGCCCTCCAGTGGGAGGCACATGTGCTTCCTGACCTGAGGTAGACCACGGGTCCATCGATCTCTACGAACTCCACGTTGCCGCCATCAGCCATGAGGTATGGCCGGATCTCGTCCAGGACCTTCTCCACATTGGCCTCTGTCAACTCCAGGGCCTGGTCAGACGCTGCTGCCACCGCATTTAATCGCACTGCTCGGGCACAGGAGAATTACGCGTGAGTTTGAGCACGGAGGGTACGCACGGAGGTGATTCGGCCGGCGCATGTGCCGTTGGATGACGCGCACCTCGCCGGGGTTGACGCGAAGCCAAGATGGAGCGCCGGGCCTTCCTCTGCTTAGGGGCTACTCTCGAGGGACCGAAGAAGGCACCATGTGCCTGAAGAGAAGCGCTGCTGGGTCCGTACGATGTGCTGGTCGGGCAAATGCGCCCGCTCGCCACAAGTGAAAATGTGAGGGGCATTGTATTGAGCCTCTTTCGGAAGCTCGGTGCGCTCCTTTTCCTTGAGCGACTTCGAAACTGGTTTCAATAAGACCCAAGTAGAGGTTTAGACTTCGGGACTGTCTGATAGCTTGTCTATCTCTATTTATTATCGGTGGGGAAGCGACAGATTTGCGCGCGCGCATTCCCTGGATCGGTTCTGTCGTCATTAATGGAATTCATCACCCAGGGCGTATTCTTTGGCTCTGTGAATACTGTTGTGCCTTGATGCCACGTATACGAACGTCAAGGCTGTCAACAGCGGTAGACATTGTAAGCCAATCCCGATTAATAGGTTCAAGAGGGTGACGCTACTCAGGTATCGGCCCATTGGTGAGCTCGCTCACAAGCTGATGCTGGGCTGAGGCATGGGAGGTGGTTGCCAGCCTCGAATGTCGGAGGTGTCCGGGCTGTCTCGAACAACAGCCGCGTACGACGGTGCCTTGGGCTCCACGCTGCGCGCGGAGGGAGAGGCGGTGCTGCCGCTCCCCAGCCGCCCGGCGATGACGCCGCCTTGGTGCGAGGAGGGCAGGGACGCTGTTGAAACAGAGGAGGGGAGCGGGAAGGTTGTGAAGAGTCCATAAAGGGAGGGGGCTCTGAGTCGCGCACATGTTGCGCCCGCCAGACACCATGCCCACCCCGCCCTGGCGCCCAGGCAATGACTGACCTCCATGCACGATTGCCCCCTGATCCTCACCGGCCTCGTAGATGGAGGTGGCGGCAGCCCTGCTCCGGCCGGGCGACTGCTCGGAGCTGGGGCGGCCGGTGCTGCTGGAGGTGGACGGTGGGCCGCGGGGCGGCGGCGTGTCGGCCGTCTCGCCGTCCTGAGCGGCCGCCTCGCCCCTCGGGGCCCGCGCCTCGCCGGCCCCCTGCCGCGGCTCGCTCACCGCGCTGGAGGCGGGGGAGGGCCCCTCCACGCTCCTCTCCCACGGCTTGCGCCGCGGTGCCAGGCGGGGGCTGGGCACGCTCTGGGTCGGGTTGGGCGCCTTGTCGTTGATGTCCGTCTGTGGAGAGCGAGGGCCCAGGTGGTGGGAAGGGCGGGGTTGGACCAGCTGCAATGCGGCAGTGAGGGCTGTCGCAGCAGTAGTCTACACAGTGGACCCCCCTATCCCTTCTCTCCTTGTGCCACCACCTGCACCCACGTGCAACTATCCTCCCCCCCCCCCACACACACAAAATCCTCTCACCCTGATGCCCGGCGGCTTCTGACCCTTTTCCAACATCTCCAGGACCTCCATGTAGGAGGCGGGGTGGGCAGGCCCTGAGAGGGCCGGGGCGGCAGGCGTCGGCGACTCGTCGGCGGGGCGGAAGGGCGTCGCCAGAGCCTCCTCGGCCGCGGAGGCGGGGTGCGGGGTCGGCTTCACGGCGGCGACGCCAGCCGCGTTCGCGGCCGCCTCAGCGCCAGGCATGTGCGCGGCGCCCGGCCCGCTACCCTCTGCGGGTGTGGGGGGGTGGATGGCGCACCTCAGCAAGTTGCGCAGAAACCCCGGCCCCTGTCTGAGGCCCCTGTCCGAGAGCCCGACGCCCAGTTTGCCGAGATCGGTGGAGTGCAGAGCGATTACAGGACACCGCAACACCTCAAGATACTGCGCAGGCAAGGCGATCGACATAAACTGCCAGGCACCAGGCCATGCAGCGGATCCTCTCTCACGTACCGACCCCATTGGCCAGCAGCTGCTTGATGGATGCCAGCTCCCGGCCGACGTCCACGCTGGGCGCCGGCGGCGCTGCCGCGGGCCGCTGCCTGCAGTAGAGAGGGTGGGAGGATTGGGGGGACTCGGCACGCTGCAGCGGTTTCGAACGGGGGCACTTGCGGGGGAATGGCGCCGGTGCATCGGGAGGCAAAACCCTCACGACACCCCCCGACCCACCCTGGGAAAAACCACCGCGCTCACTCTCGGATGGTGCCGGCCAGAGTGCGCAGTTCAGCCCTCAGGTCGGCCAAGCTGAGCGAATCCTGGGCGGCGCGCTTGGACTCTGCAACGCTCGCCTCCAGGCTCACGGTCAACTTCTGCAGCAGCTCCACCGTGTTCCGCAGCTCGGAGGTCTGGGCCTGCAGGGAGAGGGCAGGGCAGGGATGCCCCATGAGCTGAGCAGGCTGGGATGCGGATTGTTGGAACAGCAAAGCACCCTGCTGCCAGCTCACCTGGATGGCCTCGGCCAGGGCGTTGGACTCTTTCTCCTGCAGGGCCTTGGCCTCTGCCATCTCGCCCTGGCTCGCCTTCCACTTGGTCACTGCATCCGCCACGTAGGGCCACACCACGACCTTGAGGGCGTAGACGCCCGCGGCGACAAAGGCCGCGCCCAGCATGGCCTGTCGGAGTTGGGGGTGGTGGATGTTTTGGGCAACGACAATGTATGAGGTGGGCATCCCCTCCAAACAACAGCGGCCCAGTGAAACAACAGGGGCCTAGAGCAGTTCTTCGAGCATGATGATTCCTCCCATGTCCCCTACCAAGACCGTCTCCTCATGCTCACCTGTCCCCATCGCACAGGTTGGGGCTGCGCAGGCACCAGCTGCTGCTGCTGCACGGGGACGTACCCAGCCGGCGTCACGGTCCCCGCTGGCACGGCCACCACAGAGTGTGGAGATGGGGCAGGTACATAGGCCGCAGCAGGGGCTTCCGGGACCCGCCTGAATGCCTCCTCAATCTCCGCGTCGGTCAGGCCCTTGCGCTGCAGGAACTGCCGCTTCTGCTCCACAGCCGACGAGCGGACCTGGAATGGCCGATGGGACGGAGTGAGGTCCGGACCTGTGCAAGGTACAGTCCTCCAAGGAGCGGTCCCAGGTCGGGCAAGGGCCAAGTCCACGCAAGTGAAGGCCCTACCTTGGGGTGGGAGAGGAAGGAAACAGCATTCTGCAGCTGATCTTCTCTCAGCGACACGGTTGCTGTGGGAGGTGCTTCGAAGGCAGCCTCCGGGGAGGCAGTGGGACTGTCGGAGTTCGTGTCCCCCATCCTATAACCAGGTCACAGTGACGGAGCTACCATGCCAACGCCAGTTGTATGGAGTCGGAAAAATTGGCTGGTGTTATATAAGTGGTGAGATCGCTTACTTGCCGGCGTGAAGTATTCCGCGAAAGGACCCTATTGCTTAATTGATGAGTAGACCGAGGCGTCCTTTCTTCCACCCAGCTGTGTGGAGTGTGTACCCGACTATCAAACAATGGTGCTGAAAAACGCATGTAACGCACCCGTCAAGCGTGAGACCCAGCAAAATCAATGAGCTGCGGGCTGCAACATGGATGTATTTCGGTGCTGGAACGAATCCATCGCTAGCGCAATCTGAGATCCGCGCCTGAGGCGGTCAACTGATCCGGAGTGGGGCGCCGATCGGATCCTCTGAATGGCATTGTAGTGCACAGGTGATATGTATGTCAGGAAAATTTCTTGCTGCAAGCAGGGCAGGGAGGAGGTTGGAAATGTTTGCTATCAGTTCAACTGTTACTTGCTGTCAGTTCATGGCCCTGCATCCTGGCCTCAGCGCAGGAGCTCGGGGCAGCCACCCCTACCCAAACCAGTCCTGCACGATTGCCTGTCCACGCATCTGTCCTGCCCACCCACATGCGCCTCACCGTCTTCCCCTGCCTGTAGTCGGTTGGGATGTACCGTACCATCTGAGTTGCGCCGATGACCACCGAGATGGTGATGCAGAGGGCGTTGCTGATGGCCCTCTGCATGACGAGGGGTGGCGGTTCGGAATGTTTGGCACAAGAGTTTCACACCCACCTGGACACGGCAGCACTGTCATGAGGTGGAACACCAGAAAACATGTGCTTAGCCGGAGTAATGAGGCAGGCTTCCTCCTCCTGGCGCCCTCAAGGTCAGGGCAGACTCGGGTTTCCCCCCACTACATGTCTCGAGCCACCCAAGGCTCCTTCCCCCCCCCCTTTCCCACGCACCAGGGTCAGTTCGTCGCCCCAGACGCCAGACTCGCTCATTGATGCCAGGTAGGCGTCAAAATCGGAGCCCAGGAAAGCACGGAACTCGTCGGGGCAGCGTCGCATGTGCATGATCGCCGCCCGCCGGACCCGCATGTGCTGCTCTTGGGAGCCTGTGGCGAATGTGAGGCATGGGAAGTAAGGGACCTGGTGAGGCTGTCCTTCCTGCACACCTCGAGCCTTCCTGCAGTGAGGCGTTCTGTTGGGTGTGCACCCTGCAGGGCGCCTGTGGCCGGCGGCTGGGTTACAGTACCCAAGCTCACATGCAGGCGATGATGCATGGCAGGGCCATGCACAGAACCAAGGGACGCCCCCGCCGCCCCGCTGCTGTGCCTCCGCGTAGCTCCCCTGCACCCACCGTAGACCGAGTGAGCCACGGAGCGAAACTGGCAGTTGCCGTCCCCCTCCATTATGTGCAGGTCCAGGCTGAGCTTCCTCAGCCGCGCCCGCAGCGTGTCCTCCGCCAGGAGCAGGCCAGTCTCCCACACCGCCCGCTTGCCCGCCGCCTCCTGCTCTGACTTGAGGGCACTGTCCAGGTCCCACCGGCTGGCAGTCCAGTCCATCTGCTCACGAACCTCTGCGGGGTGGCGACATGGAGAGGGAGGACATGGTCATGAGTTGATAATGGACAGATGGAATGGACTGCGGCCCCCCACCAGCACGGAGAACCTTGGGCATGAGCCGAGAAGTCCATGCTGCGCAGGCGGGCCGTGTGCGGCATGAACTCCTTTTGGGGCTCCGATGACTCCACGGCGCTGACATTCACGCGGGCATTCGAGAGTTGCCGGACCGTCACGACGGGCTCGCCCTCCAGCTGACAGCTCATCAGCCGGGCTAACTGACCGGCGTAATCCTCATCGTCGGCTGTTTGTTTCGATTCAGGGTCAGCATTCCTGCTGCGGGAGGAGGTGAAGCAGCCACACAAGCCCATGGCGCATGGTCTACCCGACTACACGGCCTACTCGATGGGGCCAGTGCTCACTCTCAACATTATCTCCCATGCGAAATGATCGAGATTGAAGATTGGACGTGGCAGTCCAGGAAATCCTTCAATCAGCCTGAGTCGTGAGCTCAAGTCAATTCGTATTGACATGGAGGGGGGGGGGGGGGGGGGAGGAGGGGCCGGGACCCCACCGATACAGACTTTCACACTCAAAATGGGAAGTACAGGGGGCTGTCTGATCCTGAGCACTCAACAGGGGTGACTGGCATTTGCGCCTCTGATATGGAGGAAAGGGGACTGGGTGCTTGGGGGATCCATTTTCGGCAGGCTATCCCTACACAGCCTTCAGGCCGTGCGAAGGGAGGACAAATACCAGAGAGGAATGGAAAATCTTCATGTGGGAGTTGGGGAAATGATGGAAGATAGAGAGTCAAAAGGTCAGACCTCTCGGGAAGGTGCCGCCATGGGATGTCACGGCACTCCCCGGTGGGTCTGAAGCAAGGCGCCTCTGTCTGTGGAGCTAAGCACTGTTCTCGCTGGGAGCATTGTGCAGATCCCTGTTTCCGCCAAGCACGGTCGTGGACTCTGCAGCCAATGGAATCACAGAGAATGGGTGAGGCACCTTGTCGTCGATTTGTGTGGAGAAGGCCAAACCATTGTTGACTGTGCAATGGAGAAGGCCAACTGTCATTGCCTGTACAATATGTAGCTGGTCCTGAATCATATCTCTGAACCTACCCTTAGTAGAATGGGCGAAGCTGGAGTTGGTTTTGTTGGAAGTGGAGGAGCTCTTCGGCGCCTGACGCAAGCTGTTAGGGAAGTGGGAAAGGAGAGTATCATTCTCGAGAATTGCAGGGCGAGGGCTTCTCTTCGACAACCTGCAGGCCCAAGGGGGTCTTACGTCGCAGCCCCTGCCGTGATCTCCTCAAACTCCATCCATCACACAACGTCGATGCAGCAGATATGAGGGGAGCTGCTCGAAGATGCGTCAAACAGGAAACCCCCACTCGGCATACTCCCAACCTACCGTCGGAACAGATCCCTGGCGTTCTCGCTGGCAGTGCGCGCATCCGCTGGCACATATGCTGCCTTGGGCCCCTTTGCAGGGTTGTATTTGATGGTGCTGGCGGCACCCTCGGAGGCTGAAGCGAAGGCCCGGCCAACGGCCCCGACAGCGACCGTCAGCTGCTTCATCGCCAGTGCTTGCTGCATGGTTACGATATTGGTCAAAGTGTGCAAGAAGTGCAATGCAATAATATTTGGTGGCGATGCCGCTTCCGAACGATTGATTTATACCTTCCAAAGACCCACGCGCTCCCGGACGCTTCCTCGACCCAGGTCCTGTGGCCGCGGCTCCTCTCCCATCGTGAGCCACGTCGAAGTGGGGGGACCGACCCCCGGAAGCAGACCTCGCAACTACCTCGTGCTTGATACCCCTATAGATACAGGATCAGATGCAGGAATCGGATTCTTCCAGAATAGGATCCACCATCCGTGGCTCATAAACGCGGTCTGCTACGAGGGGGGGCCAGGCAGTGCCCCAGGGTCGTGGCCTGGCGTGCCTGCCCGCACCAGCCTTGCTTGTGGGTGAGATCTGTGATTCCTTGGCCTTCACGGCATGGAAAAATAACGTCGGTTGAGTTGTATTGCTGTGTCCATGGTGGTGAGGAGGTGTATGGCATCATGCAACCTGGGCGGTTGGCGCACACACCGGCAAATGTGGCAGTGTCCATGCATAGCTGCGGCCAATCACAGCGCGAAGCACGGTTGGCTGCGCCGTGCCTCGCTGCGATACTCCTCTCCCGCCACCTCGGGGTCCAGCTGCTGTGGCATCGGCCCTCCCCGCCGAGGCGCAGCATCCGTTGGGGAAAGGTGGTGAAGCCCTGACCGGAGGGGGATCTCGGTCGGTGTATCTGATGAGGGACACAGCCAGAATGCCTGCTGGCAGTGCAGCACCGCCGTCCGGGATCCCCTGCTGCCGGTACGACCACACCGCGCCGTGCCCCTTGCCCCCTCGCGATCCCGGGGCGGCGGCACGCGTCCCTCCCACACCACACACACACACCGCCTCAGGCCGGCCTGAGGGGCGGCGCGCCCGCGCCGCCCTCCGCCCCCGCCAGTCCGAAGCTGGGGAGGAAGAGGAGGCCGTTGCGGCGCGCGTAGCGTCCCACCAATGCGGTGAGCAGGGCGCCCGCCCCGGCGCCGAGCGCCACGATGCCCCAGAGGGAGTAGGGCTGCAGCGGCTCCAGGCCCGAGGTCAGGTTCATGCCGAAAATGGAGGTGAGGGCCATGTGGCACTCGAAGGCCATGAGCAGGAGGTCGATGGCCAGGCCCAGCGACACCAGCTGGTTGCGCCGCGCGTCCAGGTCCAGATTGACCAGGTGCTCCGGTGGCGGCGATGCGCTCCTGCAGCAGGGCCAGGGCGGGAGAGCGAGGGCGTCCACTTGCAGCCAGTAGGCCTCCACCAGATCCTCGCACTCCTCCATCTCCCCCGGGTCGGGCGCCTCGCTCGGTGGCGCCGCCGGCGGCGCGGGCCAGGCCCCGCCGCCGCCGCCACCGCCCGCCGACCCCGCTGCGCCCGACCAGGCGGGGCCCAGCGCGGAGGGCGCGGCGGGGGCGGAGCCGGAATAGTGGCGGGCGAGGGAGGGGGCCGATGCCCCGCCCCGCCCGGCCTCTGGCGACCCGCCCTGCCAGCCGGCGCCGGCCGCGCCGGCCGCGCCGGCGGCCTCCTCAGCCTCCTCGGCGCGAGCGCGCGCGGCGTCGGCGGCGGTCAGGCACAGCCCCGCCATCAGCTCCTCCTCGTCCAGCAGCTCCTCCAGGATCTCCTTCATACGCGAGACGCGGGCCAGGCCGCGGACCAGCCTCGTGCGCGACTCGTACAGCTCCTCCAGGTCGGAGCGCAGCACGCCGCGCCGGATGCGGTCCAGCACGGGGCGCACGCCGCGCTCCAGCGCGCCCACCTCCCGCTCCAGAACGCGCACCAGGCAGAGCAGCGCGCCTTCCAGCGCGCGCAGCTCGTAGGGCAGGGTCGCGCCGCCGCGGATCTCCTCCAGCGTGGCCACGCTGAAGGACGCGCCCAGCCCGCCCTCCGCCCCGTCCCCAGACCCGGGCCAGGCGCGCATGGCGATGTGCGCCGCCAGCTGCTGGACCAGGGGGTTGGCCAGGTCCGCGGGGCAGCGCGCGGTGAGGTCGCCGGGGGCGGGCACGCTGAGCACCAGCGCTTTTTCGCGCCCGATTATCAGCTTCAGGCCTTCCAGGTTCAGCACGATGGCCTGGCGCCGCACCAGGATGGCCGGCGGGTCTGTGCATTGGTAGGCGTGGGAGGAGGGTAAGGGATGCGTTGCTCTGGATGAGGGTGGTGGTGGTGTGGGAAGGTCGCGCGTGGAGCGGGAGGAGGGGTCATGCATGCTGGGACTCTGAACCCGTCGACCAAGACCGGATGAAAGGCCAACCAACTCGGAAACATACATGGCAGGGCGACCTGGGGCTCCAGTGCCCGGATGTCGCGATGCCGGAGGGCCATGTCGGTGATCAGGGCCTGCTTACGCAGGGTGGTGTAGCTCAGATGCCCTGGGGAGGGGGGGAGGGGGGATGTGCAGATCCATCGGTGGGAACACTGGTGGTCGGCACACTTGCTCAACTTCGAATCACTCCAAGGCCGCTGCTCCAGACTCACCCTCCTCGTCGATGAGTATCACAGGCTTGGTCTTGGACGGTGGAGGAATGCCCCCCTGCGTGGAGCTGAGCCCCCTGCGCACGGAGCCCTCCCCTGCCCGACCCCGCAGCATCAGCGGGGCCGACTCCATTCAGGGAGGGGAGGGCCGCAGCCCTGTATGGAAGAGCGTGAAGGCTGTGGTTACCGAAGACGCCGCATGGGTCACTCGACTGGAAACGACTGGTGCTGGGAATGCGGCAGACTCATGCGAGGGGGGGGCCCTCATAGCGTTCGTGCCGGCCGCCACCTCCCCGACACCATGCCGGACCAAATCTGGTGGTCCTGGACATGCAGCGGCAGTCCCAGCTTTTCCCCGCAAAGCTTCCAACGGATCTGCCTCGTCCCGTCCATTTCTTCCACCCAATCACAGCAGTGCATGGGATGACATGCGATGTCAGCCCTACCAGGGAGGGCAGCGTAGTGGGAGTAGACGTAGCGAAGTGCAGCGTTCTTGCTGCATTACTGAGATTAATTATTGGAACACAGAAGCAAAGCCCGGTACTTTGGTGTGGATGAGATTCTATCTCCTAGGGGGGAAGAAGAAAACCTGATACGAGATGAAAAACACCTGGACGGCCATGCGAGCAGGATGGCCTTTGCTGATCGGCCTCACGGCGGGTCACCAGCGGGCTCTGCATATGCAACCAGTCTCTCCAGCAGCTCGGAGGCTGTGGGTCGGGCGGCCGGATCTGACCGCCAGCAGGCCTTTATCAGTTCTGCAATGTCCAACGGACACTCCTCCGGCACTCTGCAGTGGTTTGGGGAAGGGTGCTGACTTTTCTGGGCAGAGCGCTGTGGTGATTCACCATTGGCGTGCCAGCCATTTGGACGGGTCGCAGAGGTGGGTGCCCATGCACTAGCTAGCTCGCGGCACTTCAAACCCATGCTTGAATGCCGGATCTTCCCGTGTAGTCTTGCAGCAAGGCCTTGGGCCTCCTGCCCCACCATCACTCAGGCACCTCCCCCCGAGCCCAGTCCCGTCCACCCCCCACCCACTCCCTTACCCCCCCCCGGACCCCTCAGAAAAAACTCAGCTTCCACCTGACTTCGCGCATCTCATTGCGGATGGGCACGCTCCCCGTCACGATCTCCCACAGCAGCACGCCGTAGGAGTAGATGTCTGACTGCACGGTGCAGCGCTGGCCCAGGATGGTCTCCGGCGCGGCGTGGGACCAGGTGCCCACGTGCAGCTCGGAGGAGAGGAAGGATCGGGCGAAGGGCAGCATGCGCGCCTGGCCCACATCCCCCAGCTTGGCCCGGCCCCGCTCCGTGAGCAGCGTGTTGCGGCTCTTCAGGTCGAAGTGGATGATGCGGCGTGAGTGCAGGTAGGCCAGCCCGGCGGCGACGTCGTGCGCCACGCGTGCGCCGCCGTCATACCAGCGCATGCGCCCGGCGCGCAGCGCGGAGTACAGGTCCCCTCCCTGCACCAGCTCGGTGACGACGAGCAGCGAGCCGCGTGGGACGGGGGGCTCGCGCCCCGTGCCGGCAGCGGCCGCCAGCGCCGTGGGGAGCACCACGCCCTGGAAGTTGACCACGTAGCGTGAGCGGCAGGAGCGCAGGACCGCGGCCTCGCGCCGGACCACGTCCAACGGCACGTGGTTCCCGCCCTCTGCGTCGGGCAGCACCGACAGACATTTGACGGCCACCGCCTCGCCGCTGCCGAGCGCCGCGCGGTAGACGGTGGAGAAGGTGCCGGAGCCGAGGAAGGGCGGGCGCCCCGTGGCCGGGTCCACCACCCACACCAGCTCCTGGGTGGACAGCAGGAAGTCGGCGTCGTGCGCCGCGTCCTCGTCCCCGTCGGGGTCCCAGTGCCCGCGCCGGCGGCCGCGTCGACCGACGCGGACCCCGGCGCCGCGGGGCCGGG